ATCGTCCAAGCAGTCACTGGAGAGTCGGTAACGACTGAGCGCAGATAAAAAAAAAAAAAAATAGATAAGAAGAGGGGCAGAAAGAAACTTGAGATTTGTTGTTTACTTATGTATGCCTGCATCGTCATATGAATATGCATGTGTATGCATTCTTTTCCCTTCCTCTTTTTTGAAATGTATAAATATCAAAGTATCTCTTTTGCCTGTAGGGGAATGTCTCCCCCTTGTCAGGTTCAGCCTGGCATGGCACACGCCATTCAAGCTAGCCGCCATTCCGCCTAGCTAATTTCAAATTGCCTAGTCAGTTTCCTTGCCTCAGACACAGGTGATCGAAAGAGGAAGTGCAAACTGCAAGTAAACTGCCGACAGGTGGCGGCAAGCAACCCGCGGCAGGAATCACTTTGCAACAAATGGGACTTCCCCCAACTGCTGCAGCCAAGCAGCCAACAATGAAGACAAAGAACTCTGCAGCTCAAGCCAAGTTCAACCGCCCATCAAGAGCAATTATTAGTCGCGCAAGCAAGGCAGCCAAAAACAAAGGACCCTGGCTGAACCTGCCATCGGCTCGAGGCGGGGAGAGCCGAAGGCAGGCAGGGACAGTCAGGGGTGGTCAGCAGGTAGGACTTGCAAAGCGCAGGAAACAGGGAGGCTATAAAATGCTATGTAACCTGTGCCAAGCCAACCCTGGCTTTGTTTGTAACCACATGCATTACACCTGAGTAAATTGCTTTTGTATGAGCCTGCGTCTCATGGAATCTTTATTCAGCAATGAATGCGGCAACTCTTACACCACTAATCCTTAGGGAGATTCCCTCCAGGGTGCACAATCTAATAAACCCTACAGTGAAGCCTTGATTATTTTGCATTTGAGTCCTGCATTTTGATTCCACAAGTTAATTCATGTCCATAAATGCCAGGCCTTGTCTCAATGGAGATCATAGAAAATGAACTGCTTTCTCTACTGCCAAGGTTGAAGATAAGACAAGGGAATTTGCATTCAGCCTGGAGAGGCATTTAATGGTTTACAGCCTTAGTGGAAAAAGGTTTCATATTTAAATCTGTGAATACCCAAGGAGGATAAATATCCAATGATGGGAGGGAAACCTATGTTCTTAAGCACATTGATTGAAATTCTAAAACACTGAAAAAGAGATGTATTCTTTCTCAAGTTGATACAGCCCTTATATAACAATGCTCCCTTGGAATAAAACTGTTTAATTCTTTGAGGTCCAGGCAAATTCTCATATCTTCATCTTTCTTGTGAACTGTGACCATGGGATGAAACTATTCAGTTGTGTTTATTTCCATTATGCCCAGGCCTGTTTCAATTCTGTTCTCAATACTATTGTACATCTCTCATAACATATATTACTGGCTGTGTATCTTTATTAAGAGCAATGTGATGAGTTTATAGGGACCGGAGGACATTCAGCACCAATAAACTCATATTCATATATATTTAACCATAAAGGAATGTCCCTCACCCTCTTTCCTGTTATGGTTCTATCTTCATGATTGATGATTTGTAACTTTTATCCTTCAGACAGCACATTTTTTTATGGCAAACAATAGACCACAAAAAAAAAACAAAAAAAAAAAAACAAAAAAAAAAAAACAAAAAAAAAAAAACAAAAAAAAAAAAACAAAAAAAAAAAAACAAAAAAAAAAAAACAAAAAAAAAAAAACAAAAAAAAAAAAACAAAAAAAAAAAAACAAAAAAAAAAAAACAAAAAAAAAAAAAC